CCCTAAACCCTAAACCCTGAAGAAGCCCAGGGACCTGGGCATGGTCGCCGTGGCCGTGACCCTCGCGTCTGGCAGAGGCGAGCTGAGCCCCAAGCTTGGCCTCGAAACACCCCTTTTCTAAGCCGGGTTTAGGGTTTAGGGTTTAGGGTTTAGGGTTTAAGGTTTAGGGTTTAGGGTTTAGGGTTTAGGGTGCTTTTCTCTTACCTTTGGTTAGTAGGGAATGGAAGAATGGTAGTAGTAGTAGTTATAATTGTACCCCATTCCTCCATTCCCTACTAACCAAAGGCAGGTTCTAAGCTGACGTAGATTTTTACGCGCCCTTGTTTAGGATTTAGGGAGTATAATAGGGGTTAGGGCGGTTTAGGGTTTAGGGTTTGGGGCTCACGGCTTTTCAGGATACAAACTGAGGCTACTCCCTTCGTAAGACATTTACATCTATAAAGTAGGTATACCCCAGCCCAAGGTTTATGTTTGGGTGCATGTCGGTTCCTAACTTTCCTGTTCTTCACCATGATCCTTGGAGGAGCCCTTTTGCTAAAACACCCCTACCCTGATGACTCAGTCACGGATACATTCTCTGCTCGCCGGGTCTAGTCGAGTCCCTTAAGATGACGAAGGCCATCTTTTCCAGAAAACCCTGCTTCCCTAAACTGAGTGAGCCAGGGCCGTCGAGCAGGGCGAACGCATCGAAGCCGGAAGGCGAGGGAACTCCGGAGCCGTGAGCTCTCCGAGGAGCGACGGAGCTTTCCGTCCCGCAGACAGCCGCGGCCAACGCGAGGGGTCCGTCAGGTCACTCCGAGAAGCCGACAGCTCGCCTGAGAATAGTACCAGAATCTTCCCCAAACTTTTCAGGAGCTTCTCAGCGTGCTAGGGCCAGGCAGGTGCTTCCCAGCCTTTCAGCAAGGCCGCCATGGGCCTTCAAGGGTGTTTCGGGGCCCTCCCAGGCCCGCCCGCTACCCCTCTCACTTTTTGTTGGGGTAGGCGGGCGCAGTCGAGCGCTCAGCGAGACCAAGCAGAGCCTGCGAGCACACTCCTGAGAGTTCGCCGAGCTATCATCGCCGAGCTAGATATTGACGTATTTTTCAGTACCCTATATAGACCCCTTTTTCGGAAAGACAATGAACAAGGATCGGGGTCCCCCCAGTCCTTCACGACTTGAAGCGGTCTACAATTGGACAAGGATTCAACCTTTCACG